TCTGGGGCTCAGCGGCGGCGGCTGGGCTCCGGGCCCGTGGCCTCCAGCGCAGCGGCTCACCGCGCGTCAGCGCCGCCATCTTGGCGCCGGCGCGGTAGAGGCGCGAGGACGCGGCCGCTACGGGCGCCCGCGAGGGTCAAGGAGCGCGCATGCGCCGGCTGCTGGGTCGCCGGCCCTGGCCGACTCTCTCTCTCTCCTCTCCCCCGCCCCGCCTCCGTCCTGGGCGAGATGGTCAGGCGGTGGTCGTGGGCGCCGCGGCAGCCCTCCTGTTCACTGCCCCTCAGTCTCCAGTCACCCTGGACACATCTTTAGCCAGATACCGCCTGCCTGGCCTTTCCCTCCAGAGCTCTAGATAACATGTACCGGAAACCCATCTGCCCGCAGAACTCCCTCCACCCCGAACCTCAAGACCTGTATCCCCCGTTGTTCATTTTCTCTGAGATTCGCATCTCACCCCAGCGATCTGTTAGTCGAGGAAATTTTTTTATTGTATAATAAGAAGCTGGCGGAGGGGTGGGGGCGTAGGGGGAGAGAAATGACTACTTCTTTTTCTTCTTGGTCACCTTGAGCCTTCCTTCTATCAGGCGCTGACCCTGCTTCTTGATCTCGGCCCGCGAAGGAACATAACTGTGGTCCATGTCCGCGAACTGGAAGGTTTCTAGAAGGGAGGACGGCAGCGGCAGAAAGCCGGCACCCTGCAGCCCTTCTCGGGCTCTGTCGCCCCGCCAAACCCGCCGGATGCCCTGCGACGCAGGACGATCACCATCACCAGACCCTCTGCCGCTGCAACCTCGGCAAAGGACAGCTCCCACCAGGTCTGTAACACAGGCTATTGCCTCCAGCTCGGCCCCGCCCTCCCGTCCCCAGATGGCCCTGTCCCCAGACAAGACCATGCCCCAAACGGCCACGACTCCGCTCCCAAACCACGCCCACAGCACGGGCTCCGCCCCCACAGTGCAGACCACGCCCACCTGCTCCGCTCGCCCACGAAACCACGCCCACCCTCGTCACTGCTCTGTCCGGTCCTGTGCCCCCTCCACCCCCAACCACGCCCTCCCGGCTCCAAGGCGCCTTACTAGGCCCCACCCCCGAACAAAGCCACGCCCTCCCCGACCAGTACTCCATCTCCCGGTACTCGACTCCGCCCCCGGCCCACCCCTAATCCCGATGAGCCCCGCCCCCAGTGCCTTGTGCCCGCCCCCGGCCCGCCTCCCTACCTATCACGTCCTCCTCCAGATCCTCAAAGCTGATCTTGGTGTTCTGTTTCTCCTTCAGCATGGAGGACTCGAGGGCGTCCGTCACCTTCTTGTTGTCCTGCAGGTGGGCACAGATCCCTCAGCCTAGCAGGAGCAGCGCGTTTCGGGAGGGCTTGGGGCTTACTTCCCTCCAGGCTACCTCCTCAGTGGTGGTCAGCGTTTCTACCCGGTCCACCAGGTACATGAGCTTCTTCTCACAGTAGGCCAGCTTGCCGTACACATCGAGGGAGCTGGAGACCTCAGCTTCATTCTGCATGCAGGCAAGAGGAGAGAGAGACTGGCTGTGCGGGTCTAATGGGGCCGTGGACCGGTGCGGCTCCTCCACGCGAAGCACCTGGTTGGGTGTGGGGATGCTAACGAGGCGGACATAGAGGTTGTCGATGCCCGTCTGGAGGGTCAGCAGCAGCTTCTGGCTCTTGGTCAAGTTGCTGAGCGCCATTTGGTGCCGGTCTTCCTCCTCTTTGAGCATATCCTTTACCTTCTTCTCAATGGACACAAAGCTGTGGAGGATGGCAGGCATGCAGGTGCCACTGTGATCTGGTCAGGTTTGGCGGGTGCTGTGCTACAGGCAAGGGTTCAGGAGCCCCAGTGTGGGCCAGTGGGTCTCTGGCTGGGCCTCCCTCAGTGGGCCCACAGCCGCTGTTCTTGGGTGCCAGTGGGGGTCCCCTCCCCAGGGTACCCGATGGAGCTGGGCATGTGGTGGAATTTGAGCAGTGCCTGCTCTAGCTCCAGCCTCTTCATCAAGCTTTCCAGCTGTTTGCGCCGCCCCTCACAGTCTTCTATCTGAAGCTCCAGGTTCTCCTCTGTGTTCTTCTGGGCCAGGAACCGGCCAGCAATGTCCTATCCCGTCCAGCAAAGAAAGAAGTAGGAATGGGCTGAGGAGGCAAGTCCTCCCCCACCATGGGGGCTGTATCTACTCCAGACTGAGGCTAGCCCCTGCTACAAGAGCAGCTGCCCCCTTGAAGGCAAGGAGTCTGTGCTTAGCCAACCAGGTGCTTCAACTTGGAGCACTGACAAAGCACAAGCGTGGCCAGGGGTCTCAGGGTGACAGTAAATGTGAGGAAGACAGGGTGGGAGGGTGGGAGATGCTGGCACTTTGGGAAGGGGCAGAGTGGGAAGAAGCCCCCAGGAAGCCTCCCCGTTCCTCTGGTGGCCCTGAAATAGATCTCCATTGCCCTGGGCATATCCCGGGTTCCCCAGAGCTGAGCCACTGCCGACACTTTTCTGCGGACCTTACCCAGAGGTGGGAACAGCGCACAGCACTCTTCACGTGTTCCACCATCGTGGTCACGTTCTCCTGGTACTCAATGTCAGTCTTACAGGACTCTCTACGCTTCACTGTGCAGAGCAGAAGGCCAAGGTGGCTGGCATCCTGGGCTTCTCGAAAGAACAGGCCCCTAGGCCTCCACACATGCCCAGTTTTCAAGGAGGCCATCCCAGAACACCAGAGCCTCAGAGCTAGGTGACCTGCTCCCCTAAATTGTATGTGTCCAGGCAGTTAGGCTCTGGTGCCCAGATCTTTGGGAAAACCCTGGTCTAGCTTCTGTTGAAGGAGTTACGTGTGTGAATTAACTGGATTGGAGCAAGTTCGGTAAGGCCCCTAATGTGGGTGGGCCTCCTTCATTGAATCTTAAGGGCAAAACGGGTGATTTCCCCTAGGGGGTGTCCTGCCTCCACACGACAAGTACATATTCTGGCAAAACGTTTTCTTCCAGATTTCTATCAACTGACCTAAGGGCTCAGGACCCAAGACCTGCTTCCTACTCCTTTGTGTTTGAGGCTTGCTAGTGTCCCCTCTTTGGAGAGTAGCACCCACTTCCTAAACAACATGCCTCTGGAAACTCTATGAACTTTGATATATGATGATAGTTATAGAAAGGCTTTAGGTCTTTTGTTGAGGGTCACAATGAGTTATGCTTGACTCAACAGCAATCAACAACAGTAGTGTCCCCACCACACACCCCCAACTCCTCAAAATCAGTCAGTCTCTGGCTGTCACTCACTGTAACTGCCTATCAATTTAGCAATCATGATCTCTCTGTCTTTCTATGTCTATCTCTCTGTCTGTCTGTCTAATCCATCTCTCTGATTTTTCTCTCTCTTGAGAACTCTGGCTAAGACCCTTGTTCCTTGTCCAGCCTTGGGTCAACCTGGCCTTCTTGGATACAGGTCCAGCATATATACTTTCTGAGGACTCACGAGCTGACTAGACCCTGGAGAGCTGGGAACAGCATCTCCACGTGCCTGCGGCTTGGCCCCAGGCCCCAGGCCCATCAGTGTGCCAGCATGCCTAGGGCTCTTACCCTTGGCTGTTTGGGTGCAACCAGGGAGAAGCAAACCGCCACCATTGAATTGATTCTGGCTCCCAGTGTCTCTGCAGGACAGAGGAGACCTTTCCAGTGCTTTCCCAGGCTAGACATCCCAAGGGGGGCAGACTGCCACACGTTTCTCCCACAGAGCAGCTGATGGACTCAAATGCTTTAGCTGCAGTATCATTAAGTCTCCTTGCATGCAGTTGAGGGGCAGGGGCTTATCTGCCGCTCTAGTCTCTGGCCTTCCAGGGACATGGCTGGGCAGCTGGGGGGATGGGCATAGCAGAACTCTTACCTTTCAGGTTCTCCAGGCTCATCAGTTCAGAGGGGAAGTCCAGGTCCCGCCTGCCCTGCTGGGGAGCAGGGGGCTGAGCAGCAGCCCCGCAGGCACGGGGTGGGGTTCAGGGGGAGGCCTTACCCTGCGGTACTTGTCACTCATTTCTTTGGTGTGGATCTTGTCAATCAGCTTCTTCTGCTGGTTGAGTCTGTTCTCCCGTGCCCTCCGCTCCTTGATAAAGGAAGCCTCCACCTGGCTCAGGTTGTTCTGGGGATAGAGGGAAGTAGAGGCAGGCCTGTCTCCAGGTCACCAGTGGAGCAGCACAGCAGCCCCCATCAGGCCTCATCCTTCTAGGTCTGGGACGAGCACTGAGGCTATCAGTCAGCCACCCCTTTCTTCCTGAGATGCTCATGCGAGGACAGCTACTATGGATAGAGGCGGCAATCGCCTCCCATGCAAGTTACAGCTCAGACCCCAACAGAGGGTCAGCTGCCAGTCAGTTCTGACTCTGTGGCAACAAGTTTGAGTTTGAAACTGTATGAAAAGAATGTGGCATTAGTGTTAGGGTTAGGTTTAGAGTTGGGGCTCAGGCCGGGGTCGGGGTTTGGGTCAGAGTTAAGGTTGGGGTTAGGATTGGAGTTGGGGTTAGGTTTAGGGTCACATTCAGGGCCAGGGTTAGGATTAGGGTCGGAGTTGGCGTTAGGGTCAGGGTTAGTCTGCAGGTTGAACAGTGGGTAGGGAAGACCCAAGCATTGTTGTCTTTGACAGTGTTGGCTAGAGGAAGACCTCCCTCAGTGATGGCCACAGAGCAGACAACCTGCCTCGCAGGTGCCACCAAAGTGCTCCTTAGACAGAAGGATGGTGAAACTTCATCTCATACTTTGAATATGTTGTTAGGAAGGGCCAGTCCTTGGCAAAGGACATCATGCTGAGATAGTTAGGTGTTCATCCCAAGAGAAGATTACTCTCAACAAGATGGACTGACTTTGTACTGGTACCAATGGGCTTGAGTATGGCAGAGACGGTGAGGATGGCACCAGACAGGGTAGGATTCTGATACCTGGGTTACTATGTACCCAGGGTTACTATGCATGGAAGTCAACTTGATGGCACCTAATAATAACAATACTCTTGTCTTGAAATCCTCTGCTGAACCCATGAGCAGGGCTGACAGTTCTTTAAACAGTAGGAAGTGTCTTTGTTGTATTAATAAGAGTGGTGTCTTGTGAAAAGACCTTGGTGGATATAGACATAGGTGGGGAGATGGGGTGTGTAGGAGCCACAGACGGACCCTAGAACTAGGAGAAGCAGCACAGAAGTTGCTTACACAGAGTTCAGGTTTGAGTATCAATTCTCTAGAATTTTAAGAAAATAAATTTCTGTCCTTCAAAGCCACTCTTTTGTGGTATTCTTTGTCACAGCAGCTCAAGGACACTACAGGATGGTGTCTGCCTTGGTCACTGCTGTCCCCATGGAGCCCTGTAGGGTGTGATGCAGTGGGTGAGGGACCTCACCGTTCCTGGGTCGACTCAATGGGAACCCTCTCCAGGTCACATGGCTGGTGCCTGGGTAGGAGCTGCACTTCCCCACATTGGGCAGATCGAAGAGGTCCCTGGCTGGAGCCCCCCCGACACTGTGCTCTGTGGCTCACCTTGACCTCGTCTGTGATCATCATGGCATCATGGGTCATGCCCGTCATGTCTGACAGTTCCGAGCAATACTGCAGGACGAGACTCTGCATTTTGTCTAGCTGTGTGGGGTACCTGGCCAGCTCCTACACAGAGAAGGCCAGGTGGTGGGTACAGAGCTGATTCCTCTTGTGGGGACACAGACCCCATACCCCTCTTCCTACAGACCATGAAAGCCTTGGGATGACTACAGTACCCCTGGACAGGACTGGAAGCCTGGGGCCTAAGACACCTACCCACCTCTTGTGACCACCAGTTCCCTGGGGCTCAGGTGCAGGGGAGGGCTGGGAGGCTGGGAGGGAGGGACTCACTTTCTTGAGATAATCCAGTAGGTCCATGTACAGCAGGTGAATGTTTTGGCTCGAGGTGATCTTGGTCATGGTCTTTTCAATGTTGTTTTCCAGCTGGCGGATGGTCTGGGGCGGCCGAGAGCACAGGGACATCGCTTATGGGCTGGCTGCGCACTTGGCCAGGCCCGGGGGACTGGACAATGGGGTGTGTCAAACTTGCCTAGCCCGTCCCCGTGGAGCCCCACTCACCATTGTCCTCTCCCCTCTCTCTGACCCTCCACTGTGGTCCCGCCCTCTGCCACTCGTGGCTCCTTCCTAGAGCTCTATCGTCCAATGGAAGCTCACTCCCCATGGAGCCCTGCCCACCTGAGGGACCAACCATTTCAAGATCCCTGCCCTTATTGGAGCTCTTCTCCACCACAGGGCACATCTGCATCCTGCTGGAGCCCAGCCCAGCCAGGTGACCCCCTGGGGGCCTCTGTCCATCCCTAGGGGTTCCCTCCCCTCCACCAGAACACCACCTCTGAGACCTTCCATGCAGATCTCTCCTACCCATAGTGCCTCGGAAGTAGCCACACCCCTTGCAGAAGGCACTCCCTGTTATCCCCGCCCCTCAATTACTGCCCGCCCCATGAGCACCAACCCCTCGGTTACAGCCCCGTCCACCACAAGCCCTGCCCCGTAATCTCCGCCCTTCAGTCATCGCCCCGCCCACCGCAGAGCCCCGCCCCTCAGTTACCGCCCCCGCCCCACCAAGAGCCCCTCCCTTCAGTTACAACCACGCCCGCCGCAAAAAGCCCCGCCCCCTCAGTTACCGCCCCGCCCCACTGCTATCCCGGCCCCATGAGCCCCCGCCCCTCGGTTACCTCCCCGTCCACTGTGAGCCCCGCCCCTCAATTGCAGCCCAGCCCACCACAATCCCTGCCCCAGTGGCCTCTCGCCAGCCCCTGGCACCTTCTGTAGCCGCTGCTCTTCCTCAGTGGCCTCAGGCTGGTTCTGTAGACTGGTCAGCTCCTGCTGCATGCTCTCCAGCTTCTGCCCGCGCTGCCGCACCAGGTGGATCAGTACATTGTGCACGTTCACGCGGTCGAAGATGTATTTACGCAACTTCTCCAGCACCACCTGGGGCAGGGTGCACATGACCGCGCATGGGTGCGCGAGTGTTGAGGCGGAGAACATTACTGGCGCCTCTGAACGAACATGAGGTTGCGGGTTGCTTGGCACTCCCACAGGTTGGGGCAGGATGGGGTGCGCAGGGCTCTGTCCTGTCCCCTTACCTCCATGGAGCTCCGGCTATGCGCCAGCCTCATGGGTATGTCGGTTCCGCAGCCCTTGGAGATGGCCCATTGGTCATACTGTAGGGAGGTGACAGCTGAGCCGGGGAGGGTCCTCTGCGTTCCCACTTCGACCACCCCAAGGCCTCATGGGACCTCTGCCAGTCCAAGCTCCTGGGACTATAGGAAGCTAACTACTATAGCCCCCTCAGCCCCCCCCCCACTGGTGCACGTGTGCTCGCACGTGTGCCCACACAGGCTCCCATACTGGTGCACATGTGCTCGCACGTGTGCACACACAGGCGCCCATGCTGGTGTATGCGGGTGCAGGCACACACACGCATACTCCATACTGATGTGCATGGAGATACACCACACACACACACACACACACACACGTGCGCGCGTGCGCACACACACACACACACACACACACACACAGAGAAATGGAGAGGAGGCAACGCCACCCCCCTGACCACAGAGCCAGAAGTGGTCTGTTACAGGGGGCTGGGACTGGATTCCTCTGGGCCACCTGCCTAAGGATGCTGTGCCTTCTGGGGGTGGCTGGAGCGTGGGGCACCATTCCATGGTCGCTTTCCCCAAGATGCCCTTGTTCCAGAAAGGAGGTGTGCCCTCCACCTCTGGAGGGGTGTCCTGATTGAGCATGCCCCTCCCCAGCCAGCACGGGGCACAGGGCCACACCTTCTGGGCCACTGCCCACTCCTGGGTCTCACGGCGGATATTGCTACGCAGGAGGGCCATCTTGGCCTTGTTTTGCAGAGTCTTCTCCTTCACAGCCTGGATCTGTAGTGACCGACATTGCTCTGCGGGTAGGGAGAGGGCAGGGTGTGGGGCCAGGACCCGGCTGGGGCTCCAGGTGTGAGGACACTGGGTCAGCTTCCGTCCCTGGGGAAGTGTGTCACCACCCAGTGCGTGGCTGTCTTGGCAGGCCTAGGCAGGCAGGTTCAGGGAGGCATGGTGGGCACCAGCCTTCTCTCTGGAAGTGGGTGGTGGGTTTCCTGTGCCCCACTCCCAAACCTTGGTGCCTAAGGCTCCTGTGCTCATAGACCCACCTGTACCTTTGGCACGCCCCCTTGTACCTTCTGCAAGGCAGGGCCCCTGGGCCCTCCCCGCCCTCTACCCCACCCTGTTCAGGGTAGGCTAGGATAACCCACTGTCCCCTTTTGTCCTGGACCTCACAGCTTTACAACAGAACGCCTGTGTGCCGCCCAGCTGCTGGCCTACCCTGGAGCTTCGTGATGGTCCTAAGCTCCTGCATCTGCCCCTCCACATCCCTGTCGTTGTACACCTTCATGGTGGCCCTCTGCACACTCGCCCCCGGCTCCACCCTCGGCCTCGGCTCCACACTCGCCCTCAGCTCCACCCTCGCCCTCCACTCCACTCCTTGGAGGGTCCCTGTCCCAGGACTCCCTAGCCCATTGTGACATGTGTGGGATTCTCCAGCCCAGAGAACTGGAAGCCAGGCCTGCCCTGCCCCCGCCCACCCATCCGTGGCCCCTCGTGGTCATGCCTGAGGTCACACTGAGGGCCCTGAGTCTGAACAGCAGCTTGACACCACTGTGACTTGGTGCAATGTCCTCATCCTACCTGTTGTAAATCCTCTCCTCCAGGAAAGGGAAGAGGCAGGCTTAGGGCCAGCAGTGATGAGGTCGCCTTTCCCCAGGCCATGATCCAGATGTGATTGGCCATTCAGGGAATGGATGTAACCCCTAACCAGGACATAGCCACCTCTGACATACTGGGGTTTCCCCAGGGGTGTGATGGGCAAGGCCTTTAGTCTCCTGGGAAGCCGAAAGGGAAGGGGGAACGGGGGTGGTGGTGGGGTGATGGGGGGATGGGACTAAGAATGGAGCATGGATGACCCAGGAGCTGGATGGCTCCCTCCTACAGAGAAGGCCCAGACTGAAGAAGGTCTCAGAAATGCTGGGCCCACAGGTGCTAAAGGAAGCAGAGTCTTTCTCTCTGACCAAGGCTTTGTCTAGACACCTTCCCAGGAAGCTGGCCGTGACCTTGGGCTTCTAGCTTTCTAAGCTGTGAGGGGATACATTTCTGATTAGCACAGCCACACCCTTGTGGTATCTGTTACCAGCACTAGAGAACTGGTGGTGCAGGGGCTGCTGAGAAAAACATTCGGGTCTCAGCAGAGTAAACAGGAGGCAGGCGAGCAGTCCCCTTTCACTGACATCACAGCCTGGGACACTCAGTGTAGCTCGGTGTTGGAATGAGTGGGCAGATGAATCATACGGCAGAGAACTGGAAGCTTAACAGACAGCTGTGTCCACGTCACGACACCTTCCATCTGTGCTGATACAGCACTGCACCGACATCAGCACCCCATCCCCCTCATGACTCCAGGCCAGCCCCCCTCAACTCCTAAACCCGCTTCCACTGTCACTGACTTGGAGGATTACCACTGAACCCTCAAAATCACACTCAGAGGCTCTGGGTGATCTCTTATGACACCCTTCCTGTCCTGACTTCCACCAAGTGCTAGGAGTCGGCCTTGTTCCCTGGACCTTGGCTTGGGTGGCACTAACTCTAGGAGGGTGGACCCCTCCATCCTGTGCACCCCAGTCCCAAGCCTCCTGGGACTCTTGGGGGTACATGTGAGATATGGCTACTGTCCCCACTCCGGCTGCCCGAGGTGTGTGGTTGCCATTGCCTCACTTCTGAGTTAGGGTTAGTCCGCACACACAATCGCACAATCGCCAGCACTTCTGGCAACTCTCAGAGTTTAAAGTGGCAGTTTGTTCTGCAACAATGTAAACGTGGTCTCAGCACACAGAGAGGAGGCAGAGGCTCAGTGCACGTTGCCCGTGAAGGAGGCCGGTCAGGGAGTAGGCAAGGCTGTGGTCAAGGACATCATGGGTTACAGTGTGCCGGAGTTGCCATGAGTGGGCCCCACTTCTAGCGCTGTCTCTCTAGTTGAACTGCTCTAGAGAACCGGCCCAAGGAAGAGCCCTCCACGCTTCCTGTGCCGTTTCTGGACTCCTGGGACTGCTCCAACCCCAAGCTCACACTTTCTGCACTGAGTCGGCCGAGCTGGGTCAGGTTCGCCAGGCTGTGAAGCTTGGCGGGAGAGAGGCCTGCAGACAGAAAACCTCCAGGTTCACGCTCTGCGAGCTGATGGTGTGAAGGACTTAATGCTGGGCGTGGCCAGCTTGCCCCCTGCTCCACAGTCTTCTGGGCCCCGATGCCATCCAGCTGAGGTCATTGGGCACTGCTCTCAATACCCACTCTTCCCTGGACAGGAGTCCCGAGTGACCGTCGGCGTCTTTGTTCTCTGGAACTACTAGGCTGCTCCAAGACCTTGGCCTTGGTGAACAGGAACGCATCACTTGCTCTTTAGGACACTAGAAGTCTGAACTCGGGGTGCGGGCTTTTCTGTGTGTTTCCTGGTTCTGGGGTGACCTCCGTGCGGCCTGGGCTGGCATCTATCTCCTCCACCTCTGCTTCCTTGTTCGTTGTTCATTCAGTCTGCTCTTTTCACATCTCAGGAGGCTGCAGGCACATCCCCCACCAATAGACTCCCCCAGGTGGTATTCACACCACAGGTCTGCCCACTTCTCCCAGCTCCTGGATAAAACCGACCTGCAGGATATCTGGGGAGTTTATGAATAATGTAGCAGGCTGTCAGCCGAAAGGCTAGCAGTTCAACTCCAGCACCGCTCTGGAGAGGAAGATGAACAGCCTCTGAACCCAGTGGAGGATCACTGAGAACTCACTTGACGGCAGGGTTTACAGCATCTCTGCGGCAGTCATCTTCATGACAAATGTCCTCACCACTAGACCAACGGGCAACGTGATGACATGTGGAGGAAAGACTGAAATTGCCAATGAATTAATCTTACTTTGATCCACAATCAACACCCTCAATAAGTCAGGAGATCAGGAGATGTGGTGCATTGGGCAAGCCTGCTGTCAGGACCTCTCCAAATGACTGAGGAGCGGTGGTGTGTGTCTGAGAACTAAGATGCCCTGATTAAGGCCATGGTCTTTTCAGTCACTTGCTATACATCTGAGAGCTGGACAATGAGTAAAGATGACAGAAGAAAAACCAATGTCTTGAGTTGTGGTGCTGGAGAAGAGTACTGAGTATTCTCGGACTGCTGAAAGAACAAATAGATATGTCTTGGGAAAAGTGCATCCAGGATGCTCCTTGGAAGCAAAGATGGTAAAGCTTTGTCCCACATACAACGGGCATGTTGGTAGAATAGGCTAGCCTTGGAGAGGGACATGCTGCGTGGGAAGGTGGAGCGTCTCTGACGGGCAGAGACCCTCAGTGACACCGACCGGCACAGTGACTGCAGCCATGGGCTCTGGTGTGTCTGAGATGAGGAGGATGGCACAGGACAGGACAGAGTTCAGATTGTGGCTCCCAGGGTCGCTGTGAGTCGTACTTGACTTGCTGACGCCTGACAAGCAGCAGCATCCTGGATGGGGGCCCTGGTGGCGCAGGGCATTACATGCTAGGCCACTAACCAAACAACTGCTGGCTGGGATTCACCAGCTGTTTCACAGGATGAAGGTGGGCAGTCGCCCCACTAAAGATTCGCAGCATCAGAAACTCCATGGAGGGTTGCCCCGAGTCTGAATCGAGCCAGTTTTGATCTTTCGGGAAGCAGTCTGCTGCATCCTCCTTTGGAGAAGCAGCTGGTTTGAACTAGCTCCTTTCCAGTCAGCAGCTGGGCGCTCTGCCGCTGCGCCACTTGTGAGCCTCCCTCCACAGGCACAGGGGCCAGGGTCACCTGGGCATTTCTGGGAGGACAGCTCAACCCCACAGGTGCACAGAGCTCCTGAGGCTGGGCTGTCTGAGGCTCCTTTGTATCACAGTGACATGTGACTCCACATCAATGCAGCGCCAGCAGGAGTGGGAGGAGCAACCACCCAGTTCCTCTGGCTTTCTCCATCCTCGTGGCCAGGATGCAGATGAGATGACTGGAGCTGCAGCAACCATCTTGGACCATGTGGTGCCTCTGGGAACAGAGGTCATTACGTGGGTTTTCACATGAAGGAAAACGAAACTGCAGCTTGTTTAAGCCACCAATAAGCTTAGGGTCCATGGACCCTCATGCTGCATTCCCTGGTGCCTAGTGCAGCCACATAGGTGCTGTCCAGATGTTCAGTCTGTGTGGCCTCATGGCGAGTCCATGTACATACAATAAGACTGTGGCCAGACCAGCACCTTTCCAGTCACTGCTGTTTGCATCTTGTCCCCTTCTCTCACTGAAGGTCTCTCTCTGTGGTCTTCTACCTTACAAAGCATAGTGAGCTCATCCAGGGACTGGCCACTCCTGATTACAGGGCCACAGTATGTGAGATGAGGCCTCAGTATGTAGCTTCCAAAGGGCAGCCTGGACCTCCCCAAGGCCGACTGGCTCACTTGACAGTCCATGGTGTGCTTTTGAGGGACAGATGGGCTGCAGCGGGGCTGGGTGCCTGTAGCGTGACTTGGTCTCTCTCCAGGACATTGGGCTTGCCAAAGTTTCATACAGCCTCCACTCATCCTCGCCATGACAGCTCTTGGGCTTTGCTTCCACATGGAGAGTTCCAGAAGCCTGGCCCTGGCCCTTTGTGGTAAGGGTTTATCATTCAAAATGGCTTCCCTACATCACTTGTAAGCAAAATCTTACTGAAAACTATCAAAAAAAGGACTGGAATGGTACATTGACAAGAGAACTACCAAAAAATACAAGCTGGGTTTAGAAGAGGCTGTGACACTAGGGTTCAGTGTGGTCTCTGAGCTACTGCATCAGTTTCAGGACCCAATAATGCAGTAAGATTGGTGTTAGGATGAGTAGAAAGAGGTGCAGGAGCGTGCAAGACATGTCTGACCTAAATGGGTGGTTTTGTGTTGTTGATGTTGACAGGGTCAGTTCCCCTTTGTAAGGTTACTAAAGATTAAATATGGTTGTTCCCAAACAGCCCTTGCTCTTTTTACACCCTTCTGTTGGCATCACTATGTGGTGTACAAACTTATGCACCTGGTTATTAGGCAGAGTTTGGCAGCTGGAACCCACCTACAGAAGCCACAGCCACTGCAGAACCTTACACACGTGGGCCCACTAGGACCACACACGAACTGGTATTTGGCTTCTCTCTGTCCTTCACTTGCCCCTCCCCTGGAAAAAAAAGCTTCAATTTGATTGGTGAGTTTGGAATGATAAGCAGGTGCGTTAGCCAAGGCACTCCCCTTTTCTCACCAGCCCCATATTCTGCTCCCATCCTCCATGCTACTGTACAGACACAGACTCCCTCAGAGGGTCCTCAGTGGCCCAACAGGGCTACCTGGGCATGCAAGCCCAAACCAGACTGAGTCCATCCCAACTCAGAAGGGGCCTGTAGGGCAGAGCGGCACTGTCCACAGAGCACTAACAGCTGTGGTCTCTATGGAAGGAGGGACCGGGGGTTTGAACTGCAGACCTCACCAAGGCTCCTCCTGGAGCAGGCAGGCACGTCCAGCTCTGGAAAGCAGTGCCAGGGCCTTCCATGCCCACCTCCCTCCAACAGAAGCTGGTGCTGAAATGGAGGTTCTCCCCCTACTCTTCCGACTCCTCTGCTGGTTCAGAACTCAGGTGGGAAAATGGAGCAGCTTTTATTGGCCGCCTCAGCATCAGGAGTCCACTCTGGCAGGGATGCAGGGGCCAGAAGGGGTGCCACTAGGAGTCCTGCAGCCCCAGAGGCGTCAGGGAGCACAGTTTTTGAGTCTCTTTCCCTGGGAGGGTGGAGGGACAGTGCAGGAGGGCAAGACCCTCTATGAGGTGGATTGATTCGGTGACTGGGGTAATCGGGATGGGTGTGTCGGAGGCAGTGCGATTGGCACAGGACAGAGCAGGGTTTAGGGCTGTTGTACATAGGGTCGCTATGAGTCCCAAGTGACTGGAGGGCACATAACAACAACTCCCTGCCCAGGGCCCGCCCACCTGGGCAGGGAGGGGCTTGAGCCACAGCAGGGTGCACAGGTGTGCTGTGGACACTGGGTGATACTGCAGGCTGTGCTGGATCCTCTGGACCTCCTGACTCCTCCGGGTCACTCTTAGTCATGCTGATCTGTAGAGGAAAGGGGGGCAGCAAGGACCACGCAGACCCCAAGGTTGCTGGGGTCCCTGTGTCGATTTTACTGTGGCAAAACCTAATGCCCACAAGTCAGGGGGTGTTCACACAGGGCCCCCAGCTGTTTCTTTTGGGGTGTCCACAATGCTGTGTGGCCCCCATACTCCTCACACTCCACCCTCTGCTCTATCCCAGAGCCGCGCCCACTTCCTTGATCCCACTCCTAGGAAACAGGGTACAGAGAGGGTCGCCCTGTCTAGCCTACAGCTTGGTGCTCCTGGGCTCAGCTGCTTAAACCCTGGGTACCAAGGCTGCAGGAGCTTCTCTTCGTTTGGCTTCCCTGTCCCTGTCCCCAGAGTCCTCTCATCTTACCCCTGCCCTCTCACCTGCCCCCTCAGCTGTCTTACCTGTGCCTGAATCTGGAGGGAGTTGCCCTGTCTCCAGAAAGAGCCAGAGATTGCTGCATTTCTGGGTTTCTACTCGTGTCACTCCATAGCTGGCCAGTGAGCCCGTGACTAGGAAGAAGGTGGGAGCAAATAGAGACAAGTGGGAGCACGTGAAGGCAGTTTGGGGCAGGAGGGAAGGGTGAGTGGGTTCAGGTGAGGCAGTAAGGGGCTCGTGGGGAAGGTGGGGCAGCAGTCCGATAGGGGCCTCAGCGTGGCCCAGTCTACTTTTGCAGATGGTGTTGAGGGGGCTCAAGCATCAAGCCTGGGGACCCAGACTGAAGACAGGGTTGCCCCAACCACAGCCCTCGCCCCTGAGGGGAATCCTTCCCCCAGGAGCCAGAGGCACATCAGCACTGCGGGGTACCTACCCACCGCCACCAGCAGGGTCCACTGCAGCGGGTAGGGGCACTTTCTGTGGACAAGCATCTGCAGGCCGAAGGCTGCGCCGGTCCCTACGAGAGTAAGTGGCCATCAGTCAGGAGCACACGGCGCCAGGGGACGGGGTGAGTGGGAGGGAGGGGGTGAGGTAGGGTGGGCTGGGGTGGAGCCTAAGAGCTGGGGACACACTGTCTGGACCACCTGGGTCTGCACTGCGAGCAGGTGTCTTGGCGCCCCCTCCTGGGAAGTAGGGAGGAAGCAAGAGAGACACCTGATCCCTGCGTACCTGTGACAAAGGTGAGAATGCCCTTCAGGAAGGCGTTCGACTGGCACGCAGCATACTCCCTGAGTCCCTGGTGGCGAAGGGGTTGAGGCTCAGATCCTGAGCTTCATGCACCTGTCTCTCCTTTGGGCATCGTGTGACCATGGGGTAGGGAAGCGTCCAGAGTGACAACGAGGGGGCTTGGACACCTTCCCCCTCCCCTATGCCCGACCCCACAGTAAGATCAGCTTGTGAGGTCCGAGGTCCAGAGATCAGGTTGTGTCTCTCACCGGGTGCTTGGCGGCGACAGAATCGTCTACCCTGGACAGGCCTAGAGTCACCATGGTTGGTGTCAAGCGGGGAGCCGGTGGACCTGGGGAGGGCGGGACAAAGAGGGCGGAGCCAAGCCAGGTGGGAGCGCATGTGCAGAGCGAGGTCGTCCGCGCGTAGAAGGAAGCCGGAATCTGGGCCTGGGCGGAGCCTGGGCGGAGCCTGGGCTAGGGCTTCAAAGAGTAGTCAGAGAAGGGAGGGTGAGGCGGGACCTGGGCGGGGCCTGGGGGCCCTGTCTGCGCGGGGATTGGCGAAGGAGGGAGGGGCGGGCGAACAAGAGGCGGAGCCTGTTCTTACCACCCCGCCGGCAGGGGCGGGACCTAGCTGGGTTGGGCGGGGCTTAGTGGGCCAGGCCTGCGCAATGCTGTGCAGAGGCGTGGCTGGGCCTAGTCGCGGGGGCGGGGTAGACCAAGGGGAGGGTAACGCCACGGGGGTGGGGCTTATAGGACGAGGGGCGGGGCCTGATGAGCTTTGCAGAACTAGGCCGTAGGATCTGGTGGGCGGAGCCAGGCCAGCGCAGGTGAGGTGTGCGTGAGCCGACGGGTGCTCGCACTCCTTCCCAGACCAAATCCTTGGCTGTGGTGTCAGTTCTGATTCACAGCGATCCTTCAAGCAGCTGGTGGGTTTGAACTGCTGACTTTATTTAGCAGTATAACACGAAGTACATCTCGACACTAGAAGAGATTCAACCTGGATTCGTGACAGAGATATAGTTGTCAGCGTCGGATGGGTCTTGACTGAAGGCAGAGAATACTCGTGCAGGATGCTTACCTGTGCTTTATTAATTATACAAAGACATATGCCTGTCGTAACCTTTAGAGGAACATGGAATGTGCTCAGGTAAACAGTGCACACAGACCTCGAGGCAATTGTTCAAACGGAAGTGGTTACTTCACGGTTCACAGGAAAGATATGTGTCAGAGTAGTGTCTTTTTATCAGATTTAGTCTATATGCTAGCAAAGCATCATAAAACGACTATATGAAGAAGAACTTGGCATCAGAACTGAAGGAGAAATTATTGGTCTGTGATAAACATATGACACAGCCTTTTTTGTTAAAAGTGAAGACAATTTGAAGCACTTATTGAAGAAGACCACAGCCTTCACTACGTATTACACCTCTACATAAAACAAAACCTCACAGCTGGACCGAGAGCATCATCATAATAAGTTGAGAAAATATTGAAGTTGTCAATGTCTTAATTTTACTGGGATCCATTACCAATGGCCCTGAAAGGAGCGCTCGTGAAATCAGATGACGGTGTGATTGGGCAAATCTGCTGCCAATCACCTCCATGAAGTGCTAAAGAGCAAGGATGTATTTTGAGAACTAAGGTGCAGTTGCACAAAGGCTAGGTCTTTTCAATCACCTCATTGGCTAGGAAAGCTTGACAGTGAATCAAGACGGCTGAGGAAAAATGGATCACCTTGAATTATGGTGCTGGAGAAGAATATTGAATGTACACCCCAGAATTCCAGAAGGTAAAAGCTTCTTGGAAGAAGTACATCTGGAAGCCAGGATGTTCCTTAGAAGTGAGGATGGCGAGACTGTTTCCTGCGCTTTGTTATCTGAAGGGTCAGTTCCCGGTGAAGGCTATCATGCTTAGTAAAAGAGAAAGTCAGCAAAAAGGAGGAAGGCCTTTAATGACATGGACCGACCCTGGCTGCACCCACAGCCTTGACGTTGACATAGCAGCACCGGTGAGGACATACATGCAGGACACGGCAGTGTCTGTGTGTCACCGGCCTTGACATTGACAAAGCAGCACCGGTGAGGACATGCAGGACACGGCAGTGTCTGTATGTCACTGTGAGCCAGTGCTGAGTCAGAGGCAACCAATAAATCAGTCCTGGGAGGTTTGCCAATCCCAAGGATAGTTCTTGGTACTGACCCTGAGCTGCACATGGGGTCTGCTTGCTGGGGGGGGGGCTCCCTAAACTGTTGGTCTCGGGACATCCTCCCTTGTGGGGGACAGGGCCTGAGCACTGGCTTGGGCACGTCAGGGGCAAGGACAAAGTCCTGCTGGCTATGGGTTTGCCTCTGCAGGGGAGGTAGCAGGGGGTTGATTCTGAGCCCAGAGACCCTGTCCCTCTGTCCAGGTGTGCAGAGGGACTATGGGGACTTCTGCAGGCCACCTCCTCCCCCATCTCCAGCCAGGGTGGGTGTGGTCCCAGAAGGAGACCTGTTGTGGGATACGCTGCCACTTCTCTGAGGCAGGACCTGCTGTCTGAGGAAGCTGCCCAGGGAGTCCAGGAGGTCTTGGTGGCCCTGATGTGTGGGCCCAGAAACCCGCAGGGGTCACTCCCCGCCACACTGAGTTCACCTCTGTGGCTTTATTGGCTAACTGTGTCTACAGGTGGCGCTCATGCGGTGTCACAGCTTCTGGAAGGGAGTGGGAGGAGGCTTTAGCTCTTGTCCCCCTCCTGTCAGTGTTCCTGCTTGCAGGAACAGTTGTGACTCCAGCCTATCTACCAGCTGACACCACTGGGAAAGGTGAGACCACTTTGCAGGGTGGCTTCCCTTTCAAAGCCCAGCAGGTCCACGTAGAGCTCCTGGCTCCTTGGAGGTGGAAAGGGTGGCGGCCCTCCTGGTGCCAGCTTTGGGGTGCTGCCCTCACCGACAGCTGTGACCAGACGCAGACGTGACTGGCTCAGGTGGCTGAAGGCTGTCCTGTGGAGCTGTCTATGTGTGCTGGCAGGACAGGGTCAGGGGTGGAGGGCAGGTGATGTGAGCCGGAGCACTGCAGTGCCGGGTCTCCCATCTGGGGCCAGGGCCCTACCTCTTCTTCTTCCCCGTGGCAGAGCTGTCATGGGAAATTGAAGGCCCCCACCCTCTAGACAGGAAGCCATCAGAGAGAGCTGTAGAGGAGGCCAGGCCCCAGATGGTCATTGATAAGGTGACCCACACCTGTGTCACCACAACATCAAGAAAACAAAATCTTCACCACAGGCAACACGATGTCAGATGGAGAGGAGATGGAAACTTTTAATGACTTGCTTAGCTCCTCAGTCAACACTCCCAGAACCAGCAGTCACGGGACATATAGCATTGTAGTCAGGGATCTCACCAAAGTCCTGAAGAAGACTTTGTCAGTTTAAAGCCCGGGGTGTGGTTGATTAAAGGCATGGTCTTTCCAGTCACCAGCTGTGCATTTGAGAGCTGGACAGTGAATGGGGACGACAGCAGAAGAACGGATGCACTTGAGTTGTGGTGTTGAAAAGTGCTGAATATCCCATGGACGGCTAAGACATCACCCAGATGAGTAGCCACAGTCTCCTTGGAGGCAAAGACGGGGAAGTTTCATCTCACGTATTTTGGGCATTTTGCTAGGAGAGGCTAGTCCTTGGAAAGAGACCTTATGCTTGGAAGGTGGAGACTCTACAAAGGATAGGAAGACCCTCAACAAGATGGACTGATTAATATCTGTGACAAAGGACTAAAATGTGTTGAAGATGACCAGGATGGTGCAGGACGGGACTTAGTTCAGATCTGCTGTTCACAGGGTCGCTGTGGGTGGTACTGACTTGGCAGCACTTAACAAGGCCCACAGATGCTGAAAGGCTCAGGACCTTCCCAGGAGCCTGCAGTGAAGCTTTGCCCTGAGCTGGAAGTTCTTCCTGACAGGCGCTGCCTTGGTTGCAGCGAACCTCGTGGTCTGGAAGGTTTCTGCTAGCTCCCAGCATGCCCTGTTCCCTGGGTTGTTCCCTCCTCTGCACAGCTGTCAGCTCTCCCTCCCCCTCCTGTGTGGAGCCCCCATGTGAGCTGCCTCTGTCCCCATTTCTCTAGCTTCTTCCGTCCTCTATTTATAGCTGCTACACTGTAACACGTGCTCCTGTCTCATGACTTGTCCACTTTCACTTTTCCTTTGCAGAATTTTTGTGGGAAATCAGATAGTCACAAATGTTGTAACTAAAACTTCAGAAAGATCTGACAAAAATCACCGATGATATAGACACCAGCAGAAAGAAAAACATTGCCAGCTTGTGTGAAGCCACATGATTCCAAGTGTCACTGTACTTGACCGTTAGTGACAGCTGTGGCCAGAGTCAGGGGAGGCTTAAAAGTGACTTCGGATTCTTGCATTTACCCTGTAGGCACTTGAAAGCTGTGCTTATAGAGCATGTTTTCATTGTTTTAACGAACTTCTGGGGCTATTCTTCTTAGAAAAACCAATCATTACATCTTAAATACTGCACAGACATTTAATAAAAAGGCATTTTGGTATCATCCCCTTTGACGGTGTCACACGTACGGCGCACACCCCTCCTGGAATGACATGACTGTTTGTTGGGGTGTGTAGTGATATAAGGGCGCTGGTGACACAGTGGTTAGAGTGCTTGGATGCAAACTGGAAGGTTAGAGGTTTGAGCCCAGCAGCTGCTCTGAGGGAGGCTGAAGCACTGTGCTCCCCTAAGATTCACGGTGCTGGAAACCCTGTGGGCAGCTGTCCTGTGTCCTGCGGGGTCACTGTCGGTGCCAGTGGGTGTGTGGAGCTGTATTTCAGGGTGGGAGCCCTGGTAGCACAGTGGTGAAGTGTTGTGCTGCTAACCAAACGATCCTTGGGTTGAACTGACCAGCCCTCCTAAGGAGAGTGAGCGGCAGCTTCAGGACCCTGGTCAGGGGTCTCCCAAGTGGGAACCATACGCCGCAGGGGGGCTTTGTTTTGGCACGTAGTTCATTCTCCCAAGTGACTGACAACGTGGAGTACATTTCCACACAGTTCTTTTCCGTCCTTATCTCTTCTTTGGGAAAATCTTAAAGTATCTCATCCTTTTCTATGGGAGAATTTCTTATCAAGTCTTGAGAATGCTTGATCCATTCTGAATAGTCTTGTCAGAGGTCTGGATGCAGACACTCATCTGAGCTTCTCACTTCCTGCCCAGGTGACTCAGGGCACCTGGGAGACCAGGTAAAGACAGGAGTGGGAGCAGGCTCTTTGTGCCCCCCTCCCCCACCGCGTCCAGGAACTGACTCCATCAACTCTGGGGTCTGCTCGGGGCTGTCCCGGTGCTGTCCTCCAGGGCGTGAGCCCCCTCTGACCAGGTGCTCATAGGGCTTCTCCTCCAGGCCTCTGGGGCTGTGAGGGAGCTCAGACAAGTGGCTGCTCCCCTGCCCTGTGCCTCCCTGGCGTCAGCTCGCCGGCACACTTATGCAACTGGCGATAAGAGATGGCTGGCTATAATACCCCCAGTGCCTGGCCCAGCCCCCCACCCCCACCCTGAACGTGCCTGTAAGAAGCTCAGTGTGGGGGAGGTGGGGCTCAGGAATGAAGGACAAACAGGCCTTGACCACCCCTCAGAAGTGGCCAGTACCCCCTTGCTGGGGATGGGATAGAAGGACACAGCTGGGGGGGGCTGTTGGCCACAGAATGCTGGCGTCCAGCTGTGTTCCAGCCTCTCAGCTAACCCTGCTGGACCCCCCCAGCAAGTGACCCCTGGTGAGCCTGGGGTCAAACTCTCAGCCACAAAGTCTGGTGCTCAGCTAACTGTAGTCCTGCCAACAGTGGCAGGGACCCGCAGGGAACAAGGGACAGATTGTGTCGGACCTGGGGGGCAGGGGGGGGCTTCCGCCCCTCACAAACCTGCTCCTCCAGGGAGCTTGGGGCTGGGCTGGGCTATAAAGCCTGGGCCCGTGGGGGCTGAGGGCACGTATCGGGATGAAGTCCACCCTGGTCCTGCTGGGCCCCTTCCTGGTTCTCTTGTGCATGTCTGAAGCTCAGACTGAAGTCCTGGTGCAGCCAAACTTTGATGCCAAAAAGGTACCAGGGACCCTGCAAGTGGGTGCTTTGCTGAGCCCTTGCCAGAAACAATAAGCAAGGCAGTTGTAACAGAAACCAAGCTGTGCCAGGCACAGACCCCTTCTCTATCTCATCCTCCAACATCCCTGGTGGGGAGTGGGGATCAGGGATGGCCATGCCCAATGAGGACAATGACTCTGAGGGGCTGTGGCCTGCAGAGGTGAACAGGGGACCCAGCGAGTGGACACTCACAGTTCCCAGGCTGCACAGTGGTTCCCTGGGTGCTGGGTGTGTGCCCCTCGCCACCTGCGTCTCATGGTGGGGGAGGGCCAGCTGCCCAGCACAGCCTGTCACAAACCTGCCCAGTTCTCAGGCCTCTGGTATGTGGTGGCCATGGTGTCGGACTGCAAGGTGTTTCTCGGCAAGAAGGACCATCTGCTGATGTCCACACGGACCATCCAGACCAAGGAGGACGGTAGCCTCCACTTCCACATGGAGTTCCCTCGGTGAGCTGGTGGGCAGGGGGCACCGGGTGAGGGGACGGGGCAGGGGGGACGGAGTGGGGAGGACCAGGTGGTTGAGAGGTAGCTGGTGAGGTTGGAGGTCGGGAGGGGGGAGGGGTCGGGAGTGAGTAGCACCTGAGGGCCGGCCACCTGTGGACCCAGGGTTGATGGCTGCAACCAGGTGGACACAGAGTACCTGAAGGTGGGCTCTGATGGCCACTTCCGCGCCCCGGGTAAGTGCACCCTTGGCCTGTTACCCGAAGGGGAGCCGTGGAACCTCCTTCTGGTCCTGGGAGACCCCAGTCCACCACCAACTTCCATCAGCTGCTTGGCCCCGCCCCTACACCTCCCCATCCTGGCACATGGGGGAGAGTCGTGTCTGCACCCCTCTTTTGGCCTGACCTGGTCCACAGTTCCACACCCGGCCCCTCCCCCTCCCCCTCCCCCTTGTCTGGTCTGTTGGTCTGTAGCCTTGGGCTACCTGGACGTTCGAGTGGCCGACACGGATTACAGCTCGTTTGCAGTGGTCTACATCTACAAGGAGCTGGAGGGGGTACTCAGCACCATGGTGCAACTGTACAGTGAGTGCCCACCCTATGCCAGCCCAAGACCCGGCTCTACCCTACCTCACCAGTACAGGCTCCCAAACCTCGACCTGCCCACGCCCAGGTTCCCCTGACCTGACTCACCAACGCAGACCCTGTCCTCTAGGACCCCATCCCTCCCCTTCCTGATCTCACCAGTACAGACCTCAAGCCTCACCCTGGCCCTGCCCCATGTGCCCGGTGCCTCCTTCCTGATTCCCTGCTCCCCACCCCACCCCCAGCCCCATCCAGCCCTCATCAGCATTCCCCTCTGCATCCTGGCCTCGATCACAAGTCGTGAGGCCAGGCAGGCAAGGGCTGATGTGACAGTGGGATTACTACCTGGAGTGGAGGTGGGAGTGGGGGAAGGTGAGATGAGAGACTGCAAGGGTGGGAGGGAATGAGGGGGGAGGGGGGTGTGGTGGCTCCAACTCTAGGGCTCCCAGGCCCCCAGCCTTGTGGACACCCTGGTGGTGTTATCAGAAGGCGCCATCTGCTGGCCAGGCCAGCACATCCCCAGTGGTGGCCTCTGAGATGCTGACCGCTGTGGATTCCTGGCACTCACACTGCCTCCTTGCTCAGAGCCGCCTTGCTCTGCCTCAGGTCGAACCCAGGACGCAAGTCCCGAGGCCATGAAGGCTTTTCAGGACTTCTACCCCACGGTGGGACTCCACGATGACATGATGGCCAAGTTGCCCAAGTCAGGTATGCCTCGCTGTCTGCCTCCGGGGGGCGCCCCCCACCACCAAAGGGGAGGGCTCCCTGAAGGTGACAGCCGATGGGCCAGCTCAGCCCCTCCCCTCCCCCTTTCATCCACAGATGCTTGCCCTCCAGCCGGCAAGGAGGAGCCCTGACCTTCAGGCCAGGTGGGGGCAGGCCCCCCTCCCTCCACCATGTCTCTCTCGCTTCCCTGGGAGGGAGTGCTCTGCTTGCGTCTCTTCTACCCATCTCTCCCTTCCGTTTCCTTGCCACCTGGGTCCCCGGCCTCATAGTCCCCTCCCCTGTTCCCCAGTCCTCCCCCCCCTTCTGTCTGGTGTCCCTCCTGTGGTCTGCAGTGCACAGAGCTTTCTGCGCAGGACTTTTGGGTGACCTGTGATGTGGGGCACCCTGCTAGTGGGGAACAGTTTGGGGTGCCCCTGGTTCATGGAGTGGTAGAGGCAACGTGCTGGTTTCTGTCTGCAGGGTGAGTCCAAGGAGCAGCAGGCTTTGTCCCCAGGAGAACATGGGGGCTCTGAGGAAGTGCCAAGCCTTGGACGACCCCTTCCCCTTGTCATCTATTCTCCCCCAGCCCCTTCCTCCCAATAAACAGATCCTGCACCTGAGGCTCCGTGGGTGTTTGGTGGTGTCCATCCAGGTCCCCGTGTGGCCTCTTAGTACCCTGTCTACACTGGCAAGTGCTGCTTACGTTGTACAGGCTTCTTGTTAGGAGCCGTCCAGTGGAGTGGGGCTCATGGCCACCCTGCGAACACTGGGCTGAACCTTGTCCTGTCCTGGCCAGTCCTCGCGTGTGTTGTGCCCAAGCCCGTTGTGCTGTCAGCCCACCTTGTTGTGGGTTGTCCTTTCTCTGGTCCTCCTTGAGGTCCTTCCCCACAACTGGCCCCTCCTGAAAGCGTGCTCAAAGACTCAGGATATTGGGTACCTAACGCCGCCTGTGGGAGGCAAAGCCAACACAGGGCCAAGGGCCTGCAGTGGGCCGTGCTGTGTGCCTTGAGGAGAGAGGAGGTGAGGCTGTGGAGGGGAGGCTGGCTGTTCACTTGACCTGCGTGGCTTCCTGGCTGAAGGGTGACAAGTGCCCACTGCCTGGAACCCATGGGCCACAGGCTGCAGGGAGCTCGAGGCACCCAGTGGAGACAGGCCTGAGCGAGGCCCCTTTGGGGTACACATGGACCCTGGTGCGGGGGCAGGAGGGGGCTAGCGTTGCGAGACTGTGGGGTTAGCTTGTTCTGGTTACTGTTAAGGGCAAACAGGGTACTTCTTAGAGGCAAGGTGGGTGCGGCTTGACCTCGCACACGCTGGACACTTTATCAGGAGTTGCCAGTCTTGGGAGAAGACCTCCTGCTGGGAAAGGTGGAGGGTCAGAGGAGGAGAGAAAGGCCCTCAGAGAGGTGACTGACACAGTGACTGTGGCAAGGGCCTGAGCACGTCAGACACGGTGAGGCTGGCGCCGGACGGACAGGGCTCAGGTCTGTTGTTCACAGGGTCACTGTGGGCCGTACTTGATGGCACCTAACAACAGCAGTCAATCACTTATGACGTATTTTATCTGACTCATAGCAACCCTGGCTGGTCTCCAGTCATCCTCAGGATTTAACCACTGTGTCCAGGAGCACTCGTGACCTAGTGGTAAGAAACTGTGCTGTAAACCCAAAGGCGTGTGATTCAAATCCACCAGCTGCTCCTAGAGCCAAGTTTGGGCAATCTCCTCCTGCGTGATTAACTGCCTCTGAAAGCCCACTGGAGCGTCAGCCACGGGTCAGCTCCCACTAGACGGTACGCAACGCCAAGTGTACAGTTCGGAGGCAGAAAGGCCATTCACCATGTTGTGTAGTTGTCACTGATGTCCACTTCCAGAGCTGCCGGTTGCCCCAACCCCACCTCCCAGCTCCACCAGTAAATGTGTAAATCTGTGTCCTCGTCCAGGGCAGATATTTCCAGGGTGGTGGGGGACCAGACCTCACGTGCTGCTTCAGGCCTGGTTTGTTTTGCTCAGTATCCCGGCTCACCTGTGCTGTTGTGGACCCCAGGGCCCGTCTCCCTTTTGGACAGCCGAGGACAGACAGGCCGTCCTGGGGAAGTGTGGCCAGAGAGCTCTTTAGAAGCAGGCACGCCGAGAGCATCTCACATACCGGGGGCACGTTGCCAGGAAGGGCCAGTCCCTGAAGAAGGACATCAGACTAAGGGGGTCTGAGCAAAGGAGAAGACGGCCTGGACAAGCACTGCCCAAGTGGCTGCAGCGGAGGTGGGAAGGACAGTGCGGGGCTTTGTTCTGTTGGACAGGAGTCATCGTGACTGGGCGTTGACTCAGTGGCACCTGATGACAGTAGTCCTTCACTGGATGGCCCCGTGTGCTTCCAGCACCTGCTTGTGGGCACCTGGCGTCCATCTCATGGGCTTGGTGAGGAGCAGGCTTGGCACCCACGTCTGTCTGCTCTCAGATCTCTCAGGTCACTGCTGGGGGAGGCAGGTTGCCAGTCAGAGCTGACCCATGCAGCCTCACCTCTAGAAGCCTTGGAATCAAGGTCACAGTGGCGGCCAGTGCCCCTGACTGCTCCCTGCCCCTGTGCCACTGAGACTTCCTTCCTCAGGTCAGGTGACACGTGGGCTCCTGCCTGTGGGCTTGGGATCCAAGCTGCCTCTCGGTGGCATGCAGTGAAGATGTTGTGACATCTCGCCCCTGCCCTGCCCACTCTGTCCTCCCTGGCTCCAAGGCCAGGTGCTCCGGGTTCTCACACTTCAAAGAGTCAGTGTTTGGAGCCGGAAGGCGACGGAGGCGGGCAGGGGTCCTGGTTCCAGAGCTGGAGCTGGGCCAAGATCACTGAGCCCTGCACGGTGGTTGCTTTCTTCCTGTGCAGCCCCCAGACGTGGAATCCTTACTTCCTGCCCTGCCTCTTGGCCTGAGTCCTGAGAGCCTCCCAGGGTTGGCCTGGGCCTGGGGCTGTGGAGGCCCCAACCCCACTGCTCCGGTAGCACTCCCAAGGTCCCGACTGGCCCTAGTTGCATGTGTTAGGGGCAGCGGTGGTGGCTGGGACCCCCTGGCCAAAGTGGGTTTCCACAGGCCCGAAGCAGATTTTTGCAGGTGCTATGAGACCCCCTCAGACCTTCTACTGAGTCAGCATCACCATAGGACTGCTCCAGTTGCTCCTGGCCCCAGTGGCACCCACACCTTAGCGTGGTCCTGACCCCCACAGGGTCCCCAGAGTTAGAGCCCCTCACTCCCCTCACCCCCCTCACCAAGGCTGTGAGCCTGGCCCTACAGGAACCAAGCTTCTGTGCCAGCCCTCACTGCCACATGTCCCTGTGGGCTTCATCCCTGCTGCCTGCCATCAGAGCTCAGGCCGACCAGAGGTGAGAGGGCGAGGCCAGCCCAGAGGGTTCAAGGCCAGCCTCGGAGGAACCTGGCAGCACAGTGGCTAATGGTACAGCTGCTACCTGGAAAGGTCGGGGTTCGAATCTTTGAGCTCACCCCAGGAGAGAATGAAGAGGCAGCCCCTCTGCGGGGTTCACTGAGTACAGACTCCTCCCCACGCCCGGTGGCAGCTTCCCTGGCTGGAGACTGAACGGAGGGGCAGTAGCCCAACTTTCTCCCAAGAGAGCAGTCAGGCCACCCAGTCAGTGGGCCGACCATGAGTGGGAGCTGAAGGTCATGGGTCTGGTTCTGGACAAGGCACCAGTGCTCCACTTTGCACAGGCCCAGGGCCTGCAGCCCTGGACTGGTGGGGACAGTGGTGGCACAGGGCCTAGGGCACAGGTTGGGGGAAGCTGGGCAGCTCAAGGACACGTGCTAATGGCAGGGCCCTGTATTTGAATCTTGGTTCTGCCCCTTCTGGACTGGATGTGCTAAGATGGAGTCTCTGAGGCTGGTACCCGCCATGTGGGGTGTTTGATGACCTGGGGACCCAGGCCTGGGCCTCTATGGTGCCTACACTTGAGAAGGGTGCACAAGAGGCCCTATCTCACAACATAGTGGGCTGCCATTTTGAGCACCCCCAGGCTGAGTCCCCCACCCTGTACCCCCAGGTGCCTCTCACTGCCTCTATGCTCCCCAGTACTGCCTGGCCCTGTGCCCCCAAGCTAGGCCCCCACCTCTATGCCACCCGGTGCTGCCTCACCCCACAGCCCCAGGCTAAGCATCCCTGCCTTGTGCCCCAAGTGCTGGCCCTCCCCGCCGAGGCCCGCTTACTGCTCACCCTCCACGATGCAGCTTGAGCTTCACCATCTGCCCAGGGTTCCCCTGGCTGCTCTGGAAGGTAGGGACCCCTCTTGCTGGGCCTCAGGGGGTGCTCAGCCAGGCTCCACCTTGTGATGCCTCAGCTGTGTGCAGAGTGCCCAGGCTTTGTGAGGTGCTAGGTGCATGTGGGAGCCCGGAGTCTGGGGCAAGGGTCCACCCACATGCTGGATACACCGTCAAGCTGCTGAGCCCTGGCCGGCCAGGTGGGTGTGGACATCTGAGCTTGTCCCATGTGGCCAGCTAGTGGGAACTGTATGATCAGAGTGCTGGGGACTGAAGGGCGTGGAGGGACCTACAGGGCCTTGGCTCTTCCCAGCTTGCTGCCCCGAGGTCCAGCGGGAAGCCTAACTCCCATCTGCTGTGCGTGTACAGCCCAGTGTCACCTGTGACACAGGTGGCAGTCAGCACAAGCTCACCAGCTCCAGTGGGAGCGAGCAGATCTGGGGGAGCGCACACCTATGTGTGAACACGCATCTGAGAGTACGCGTGTGTGTGCTCGTACCTGGCCCTGGGGGCCTGCAGATCTGTGTGTGCACTTCGAGTGTAAACACTGTGGATAACTGTGTCTGTGTGTGATGTGCACAGGGATGCACATCTGTGTATACCACGAGTGAGTGCTCCGTGCACGTGTATGTGTGTGTTGGGGATCACGTGAGTGTGTGCACCTCTGGGTGACTGCAGACACCTGAGTGTGTGTTCATCTGTGAATGTGGGAGTGTGCTGTGTGTGCACACCTGTGAGATCGAGCACACCTGGCAGTGTGTGTGTGTGTGCAGATCAAGCGGAGGAGGAGAGAGGAAGGGGAGATTGGATGCTGTCGCAGTGGGGTCTCACCTGTTCTGGAGGTCCTTGGAACGAGTTACTGCCTGCTCTTCCTTGCTTTCCTAGTCCCAGGTCACTAGACCTCAGGCCTCACTGCAGAGCCCCTGGTGTGTCCCTGTGGATGGCTGCCCCCCAGTGGTGCCAACCTGGCTGACAGCCCTGAGTGAGCATCCCTGGAGCAGTGGCCAGTGCCCCTCAGTGGGTTCTTTGCAGAAGGCCAGTGCCCTTGGATGGGTGTGGCCACTCCTGTAGGAGGGCTTGGTCCCCCTCATGGGTGTGGAGATCCCTGCAGGAGGAATCAGTTTGCCCAGTGGTGTCCTCTGTTGATTACGTAATGCGCTCTCTCAAATACAACCCAGGACTGAGGGCAGGAGGTGCTGAGAAGCTCTGTGAGCACACAGTGCTGTGAGGAATGGGGGCAGGGCTGCTGACCACCATCCTGGGCATCGTCACCTTGGGGCTCCAGGTGCAGGTGGGGGTGGCCATGCAGCCACACCTGACAGTCACAAGGTAGCACCATTTTCTTAGGGGACGATGTCAAGGCAGGGTGTCTAGAGCTGTCCCTGTCCTTCCAAACCTCACTCAGGCTGCCCAGGGAGTACCAGTGAGTCAAGGAGCCTGGTTGGGTCTGGAGCTCACACCTGGCCAGTGCCTCCCTATAAGGTATGAGCATTGACACCTGAGGGACCAGTCTTGGCTGCCAGAGACACCTGAGGGCAGTTCTGATGGCAGCCTGGTGCTGGCCTCCCCTGATAGAGCCCAGCTCTCCCTCTCAATGAAACAAACAACCAAACAGCCTGGTCGAACTAGGGATGTGTTTGCTTGGAGATTTGGGAGCAGCGTGAGGTCTGGGTGTGGGGTTTGGAGGGCAGGCATAGGAGGAAGGCCCTCCCTCCTGAGGTCCAGGTGTGACGTGATGGGGCATGGGGGAGAGCATCAGGGGGGCATATCAAGGAGGCCACCCCCCCATCACTCACAGGACCTCATTTTGCCTTGACCCCTCCTGTGAGGTGAGACTGTGACCTCAGTTTTTGGATCAGTAAACTGCGGCTCAGGGTTTGCCTGAGGCCACAGTGCTAGGGCTCCCACCCCTCAGCCTGGGCTGTAGCTCCTAGCCAGGGGGTTGCACGAACCCCTCTTCCTGCTGCAGGAGCTCGTCTGGGGGAGCAGCACCCCAGCCTGCCCTGCTTTCACGGCTCCCCTGCAGGAGGGCTGTCTTTGAACTGCATCAGCTCTGCTCTGAATAAACCTCTGGGTCAAAGCCAGGATTGTGCTGTCTTCCTGGAGGACGGGGTGCACAGAGATGCGGGGGCCCAGCAGGGCACAGTCAGTGCCTGTGAGTTACTGGAGAAGCATTTTGGGAACACAAGAGACCAGCTGTGTGAGCAGAGTCATGTCTCACAGATGAGTAGAGACCCAGGTGTGTGTGGGGACACACTGGTGAGGTTCGAGGTGAACCCCTTCTGGTCTCTTCCAGCTAAAGGGGACCCCGGCATTCCACACCTTGTGGCAGGCCCCTCCCATCTCTGTTCATCTGCACTTGGTGTGTCCCCTCTTTGTCTCTTGCAAGGACACTGGCCATTGCTTTAGGGCTCACCCTGCTCCAAAGTGGTGCACATGGTTTAAGCGCTTGAGAACCAGCTGAACGGTTGGTGGTTCAACTCCACCCGAGGTCCCTCAGAAGACACAGGACTGACAGTTCACTTCTGGAAGATCTCAGCTTTAAAGCGCCACGGAGCGGTCCTGCCCTCCCATGTGGGGTCCAGGGATCAGGATCACTTGGGGGCAGCTCTTCACTGATCCGCTTGTCCTTCCTGGAATTTAGCTTGTGAGGACCCTCTTCTGTGGTCAGGATGCAGGCATGTCCACTGTCAGCTTCCATCATGCCCTCCTCTGGCCACCTCAGGTCCCCCCATTTAAGGTAGCCTGCCTTGAGCGGGAACCTGCCTGACCCTGGATTGGATGTTGGACTCTGAATCCCTGTCTGTCTCCGCTAGGGAGACCGAGGATGTGTGACATTTACCTGAGCCCCAGGGGCCAGATGTGCCAGGAGGAACGTGGAGCAAACTCATACGGGGACCTGGAGCTCAGGGCACAGACCAGGGGACAGGTCCAGGCTGATCACCAGTTTGCCCAGGCATTGTGAGAGGGACAAAGGCTTTGGCCACTGTGACAGCCTCCCATCTCTTTCCATTCATTTACTCATCCTTTGTCCATCCAACCACTACCCACCCATCACCCATCCATGCATCCATCTATCCATCCACCGTCATCGATCCATTATACATCATCCATCCATTGTTCATGTGTCATCATGTATCAACCATGCATGCATCCCCCACCATCCGTTGACCATCTATATATCTGTTCACCATCCATTGTCCAACTATCCATCTTCTATTCTCCTGTCTTTACACCACCATCTATCTGCCACTCTTTAATCTGCCGTCCATTTTCCTACCACTCATCTCTCCTATCTTTTAACCATCTGCATATCTAGCTGACCATGTCTCACCTCTCCATATGCATCACATCAACCTCTCTTTACCTCTGTATTTTTCTCTATCCTCTCTCTCCCCCTCCCTGTTCCCTGCCTCTCTTGAACCCCTTGCCCCCTCATTCACCATCTTTTGCTCTTTACTTGTGTGTTGTAGGGCCCTTGTGTCTTGTCTGATGGTGAGGGTCACCACCTATGCTGAAGAAGTGGTCCTGTGGGCAAAGATAAGACATGAAATGTGTGTGGGTGGTCTGGATTCATGCCCAACGATGACCAGGATGGTCAGCTGGCCACCCTCCAGCGTCTTCTTTGAACGGCTGGTCAGCCATGTGCTGATTTCGGGACTATTGTGCTTTTGAAAGGGCCTGAAGGCATTCTCAGGGTGGGAAGTATGTCATCCTGGCCCATTCCTCTGTGCCAGATGGTACAGTCTGTGTGGGTGCAGACATCATTCCCACCCATGCTGACTGGGGCCTGGGCACCCTTGCCCTGTGCTGAACCTGGAGCCATTAGGGCTGGGCCGTGGCCAGCTGGGTGAGATGCCACCAGTCTGAGGTCCTGTTGCTGTACTTCCTGGGCAGGACTCCAAGCTTGCTGTGACCACAAGCCAGGCTACCAGGCATCACCAAAGACCACCAGCCCACACTCTCAAAGAGCTTCTTCTGGGGCCAGACCCTCCTGAGATTCCTCTTGGCTATCCTGTAGGTCCCCTCAGTGTCCAGTCTGGTACTGCCTGTCCTCTGCAGAATCACTGCCCACACCACCCACCCTTCATCCAGCAGCTGCCCCTGGGGCTCCCTGACAGCAGCAGGCACGATGCAGATGAGTGAATGAGGGTCTATGTGTTCGAACATAGGGGACCCTGACTGATCATCTGGGGGTAGATGAGCCTCACGTGGCTGTGCTGTGCTGCCAGGTCTGCTTAGTGGGCAGCAGCTGCCCTTCTGTGCCCAGTGTCCGTGCTGCTGGGGGGTATAAAGCCAGGCCCCTGGGCAGAGGAGAGGCTTTGGGCTCCGGAAACATGGACAGCAGGGTTCTGGCTATGCTGCTGGGACTCTGTGCGGGGCTGGTGGCCCGAGCTCAGGATGCTGTGCGCAAGGAAGCCAGTCACCCTGATTTTGACCTCATTAAGGTACTCCTTGAGCTCCTGGGGCATGGGGTCCTGGGCAGGTCACAGACGACCCATTCTTCAGGATTTGGTATTCCAGAACCTTCCATTTCCTCCAGGAGGTGCTCATAGTGTGGGCCCCCTCTCCCTGAACTTTCTGTTTTCTGTCTCACCTTCACTGGGAGGGCTGGCCCGTCCTCCACGCAGGAGACCTGTGGAGGCTGGACACCACTCTCTGCCAGCACCCTGTCTCTAGTTCTCAGGACTCTGGTATGAGATCGCCACAGCCTCCAAGCTGAGTTATCAGGTCATCATGGACAACAAGGTGAAGAAGGTGGGTGCGGTACTAGTCGAGCTGAAAGGAAAGACTTTGACCCTGACTTCTGCTTTTGACAAGTAAGTGAGGGGGCCAGGGGAGCTTCCTCTGTCTGGGGGGATCCTCTCAGCCCCATGCATCGGCTTGGTCTGCTTCAGGGCCCGAGAGGGTGGGATGAAACCCTGTCTAGCCAGTGCCTGGGGCTCCTCCTGCTCCCACCCTGGACATCTGGACG